AACGATTATAGGAGCACACTATTGAATTATTTCTTTACCGCAGCTTGCACAATGGCAAAATGAGCAGTAGTTTCACCAAGGTTAGGTGTTCCACCAGCTCCTGTCAAAAATAGCATTTGGTCAAGTCCTTATATAAAATATGGTCTCCCATAGTTTGCTAGCTACAGCAGGAGCAGTAATGATGTTGAAAGAAATAAAGCAAATGTTATAAATAATACTGAAGTAGCTGAATTTGAACAAACTCCGACACCATCGCCAAAACCAACGTCAAAACCAACGCCTTCACAAACAACACCTTCAATGACTCCTGAACCTATGAAGTACAAACCTGTTCAAAAGTCAACTCCAAAACCGACTCAACATTTAAACCAGAACCTACTCCTCAATAATGTAAAATGCCCTGCGTTTCCTTACTGAAAAAATAATGTTAGTTTTATTTTATTTGAACATTTTAATTTAGAGTAAAATGACGACTAAAGTACTGAAGCAATGAAACAAAATTTTTGGTAGAATAATTAAATCAGGAGCGGTTCCAGAAGGTTTTTACGTTCATACTATGAAGGATGGTAGAGTTCAGTTTAGAAAGATAAAGCAACCATTAGATAAGAGAAGGTATATTAAGGAAGATTAAACTTCAATGAGGACAACATTGCTGAACTTAGGAAGAAGTTAGAAGAGTTGGAGAAAGGAAGAGAGTTATAAAGCAATGAATTCATGAGGTGAAAAAAGAGGTGAAAAAGAGGTGAGATTTCACCACTTCACCTAAATTTATTTTTGTGCTATGTTTTCATACGTGTGGGAGTGGTGATATCATTAATTTTTAAGTTTATTTTTAAGTTTACTGAATTTTTTATTTGGATGTAATGACGAAAACTATTGAGATAACAAACTACAACGGTCATGAGTTCAAGAATTTGTTCTTCGTTCCTCGTGAAAATACATTCTATCAGATACGAGGGAGAAAGGGTAAAGTTAGTTTGAGCGTTTATGAAGGAATGAAGAATGGAAAGTTTATACAAGCATACGATACAAACGGTAAACGTGTTTCATTAGCTTTGTCAAAACTTACTAACATTTATTTTGACAGTGACTTTGACCTATATGAAGAAGAAAGTGAGTCAGAAGATTATGAGCTGTTATATGAAGCACAGCAATGGGAGGAGTTGCAATACTTTTGTAAGTGAGAACGTTTATTTTTACATTAGTGAGGTGAAGTGGTTGGCGGCTTTGTAAATATTTAAGGTTAAGTTAGTGTTGTCGTTTGTGTTGTAAAATATACGTTAACGGTTTTGTAAAGTGTCAAATTCACAAGTATTGCGTACGGTGGAACGCAGTGCCACAGTACACGAGACTTGTATACTAACTTACCATGACATTGCAGTGAATTCTGTATATATTTGTTCGTCTTTCTTTGGATTGTCTTCGTAGATTTGAAATGACACTTGTGAATTTTGTTTGTCATATACAATTCTCACATAAAGTGTGCTCTCGGTATTTGCATATTCATCAGCATATTTTGCATAACATGAATTTATTTTATCTTCTATATTTTTTAACGCAGTCTGTAGAGAAGATGAAAGGTCAACTTGTATTAGCTCAATTTCTTCCCACATTTTTCGTTTCCCTTCAGATATATAATCTATATGAAACCTTACAATAAATGGAAAACTTTTATCTTCTACAGACACAAACTTCATTCTACGAAAGCCAATAGCTTTTGTGACAGATGGGTCTCTTAGCCATCTTAATGGGTAGTCAAAACGATAGCCTTCATGCTTTACGGTCTCTGTCTCAAACTTTTGACCGACATTAGTAAAAAGTTCATCTAATGGTTTAGTTGTAGCAACTCTTGAATTTTCTTTTTCTATTGGAAGCATATTTTATCTAGAATAAAAATGTCAAATGAAACAGCGTCTATGAGAGAAATACAACACAACCGACAACTCATTATGCAAGCTCTAAATAAGAACACAACAAACTTTTCAAACTATTCTAAGATATCTGAGTCATTGAAAGAAGGAAACTTAAAACTGACATTAAACCCAATGACAGATGAGTTTCTGTTTCAAGACAGTAAGAACCATACTGTCTGTATAAATCCAACAAAAGGAACTTTAAACGAGAAACCTATAAATGAACTTCTTTTGAAAGCAGATGTTGACAACAAAGCTGACAAAGAATATGTCATTGAAAAAGTTCAAGAAGAACATGACAGAGCAGATGCAACATATGCAACAAAAGCAGATGTTGGCAACAAAGCTGACAAAGAATATGTCATTGAAAAAGTTCAAGAAGAACATGACAGAGCAGATGCAACATATGCAACGAAAGAACATACTCATCCTGAACTAGCAGACAAAACATATGTTGACAATAAAATGTCAAGTGAAGTGACAAGAGCTGACAAAGAATATTCTAAAAAGACTCATACACATACCATTGCAAATATTACAAACTTACAAGAAACCTTAAACAGGAAAAGTGACGTTGGACATACACATACCATTGCAAATATAACAAACTTACAAGAAACCTTAAACAGTAAAAGTGCCGTTGGACATACACATACCATTGCAAATATAACAAACTTACAAGAAACCTTAAACAGTAAAAGTGCCGTTGGACATACACATACCATTGCAAATATAACAAACTTACAAGAAACATTAGAGACAAAAGCAGATAAAACATATGTCAATGAAATATTACCAAAGTTTAGTTGGAACAACAAAAAATATTGAAACTATTGTTGGTGACTTTTCTATCTATGAAGAAAACAAATATTTTAGATGGGAGTTTGTACAGTCTTTAAGAAATGGTATACGGTGTAAACTCATTCCGAAAAATAACAATGAAATGTATGTAAGCTATAAAAAGAACGATGGTACACAAGTTAAAGTTCCATTAGACAACAACTGCTACTTAAACTTCTATGGAGACGAACAAAAGAAATATTTAAGAGTTTATGAAATGGCAGATATGACATTGCCTGACCCAGCTCCAGCACCATACTATTATGACTATGGTGTTGACGTCAGAAACTACACGCAGACCCAAAAAAGCAAACATTCTATTTAGATTTTTATAGATATAAAAGATATAATGCAATAGAAAAAACGAGAATAGTATACTATTATACAGATGACAGAAATAAATATTATAGTCAAGACTTTACCTACCCTGAAAACATAAGATTATATTATAAAAAATATTCTGACACAAACCAGAAGAAACCTGAAATGGTTGCACTATATTTTAAGTTCAAAAGAGACAATCCTATAATATCTCATATGTTTGATTTCATGAACCCAGTAGGTTCTATTTACACGTCAATGGAAGCAAGAGGTCCTCAAGCAATGTTTGGTGTTGGTGCATGGGAACAAATAGTCGACAGGTTTTTGTATTGTGCAAACTCTTCAAAGGAAACAGGTGGAAGTAAAACGATTTCAGGTGAAAACCTACCTGCGCATAGTCACTACGTAAGTTTAACTACATCTCGAGAAGGTTGGCATAAGCATAGATATTGGGATTGGACAGGAATGACAAAAGGTAAAGGATATGATGTTAAAGACGACGTTAAGTTTGCTATAAATTGTTACTGGATGACACTCAGGGAGAAGGAGACCATACACATCGCGTTTCAGGATATACGCAAACAACGGGACAGAGTAAAGACTACATGCCACCTTACATGACAGTTTACGCATGGTATAGAATTGCTTAGTCGTCATTTTCAACTTCTTTAGCATATTCGTCAGGAGTTGTCTTATATTTGTTAGGAACTGTCTTTGAAAGTATACCACCTTGAACTTTGAACAAGTTTGAAACGAGGTCTGACAATAGTAGTTTTATCTTCTGCTTGCAGTCTGTACATTTTGCCATGTTTGCCTAAAACTTCATAATATTCTCTTGTATACTTTCTTCTATTTTTACGAACACGAATGCGAGTACCTGTCGAGTTCCCATTGTTGTCATAGTCAATAGTATTTTCATATGGGTCGCGTTTAGGTATTTCTATTTTTACTTTGTCGCCTTTCTTAAGTTTGAAGCCTGGCATTCTTTCTTGTTTGTCTCTTTTGACTAAACTATTAAATATATAGTCTTTCTCTAAGTCAGGGTTGTTTTTCATTTCTTCGGGGAGTGGTTTCCCAAACCTTTTTGTTTACGGCTATTGTAAATATTTAAAACTTGTCTCATCTTTGCCATGGAGAAGTGTCTGTACTTGTCGTCATATGACATTTCATCTACCTCACCACCTTGTGGTTGGTTTAAGTCTCTTAAGATTTTTATACAACTGTCAATGACACCAAGAGCAGAATGGTTTTGGTCGACAATGAAATATTGGTTTACATTTTTTGAACGCAGATAGTTTTTAATATCGTCTGATTTGAAAGAACTTTCACAGTCAGATGTCAGTTTTGTTGGATGGTATTTGTCAACGAATATTGTCAAAGCAGTTTTCACATCTAAAATATTTTTGGACTGCAATGGTATGGCTTCACAGTATCTTGTGTTTTGACCGACAAATATTAGCCAGTATGGTGGTCCATCTTCTCTATACCTCGGAATGTTTTCCAAGATATCCATAAACCAAGCATTTGGTGTTGAACTAAAGATTTTTACCATGAGTGCTTTCTTTGTTGCCTTAGAAACATAGGGGTCCTTGTTCGGATTCGTCATTTTTTACCCTGTAAGAAATGGGTTTATTTGGCGCATTAGCAGGAGTTGCATCCAGATTTTTACCCGCAGTGGGAACAATAGCCAGAGGTGCGTTTGGAATTGGAAGGAAGATTTTGAGTACATTAGGTATACTGAAAGAGAAAGCACAGCCTATTATACAAACTGTACAGAAAGGTTGGGAGGTAGCACGAGATGCAACAAATCTTATTCCAAATCCTGAAACAAGAGGAAAAGTTCAAGGATGGATGGACAATGTAGGAAGAGAAGCAGGAAACTATTATAACAAAGCAAATGACTACTATAACCAAGCAGGACACTATATGGACCAAGGTGAAAGATTCTTTAACAGAGGATATAACCATGCACAACAGTGGTAAACAACAACACAACCGCAACCGCCTCAAACGTGGGGAATGTAAATTTTTTTACTGAGATGAAATGAACAATACAGCATTGAGACAAATGGGCTCAAGATGGATTTGTCGGCTTCCAGCAGTTACACAACCACGTGTTTGTCAAGTTCTTCCTATACCTCAAGAAGTTTTAGACCGACTTAAAAAACCTAAACAACCAGTTGAAAACAAACCAAACTAAAATTTTTTACTGAGATGAAATGACCGAAGAAGTTGAAACGGTAGATTTGACACCACAAACAAAAAGTTCAGAACCATTGTCAAAACCTGTCAAAGAACTTACAGATGAAGAGAAAAATTCAATAATAGAAAGTGCCAGGTCTGGAAATGCAAACCCTAACTACAAAGTCACTTTTCATAGAAATGGAACGGCTAGTATCTCAAAAAAGAAACAGACTCTCACAAATAAAATATTGAAGTCTGAAGGAACTAAAGAGACAACAGATGGAAAAGTTTATTTCACTGACCAACAGTTCATTATAGAACATCTCATTGACTTAGAGTCGAAATATTCTAAACTTTACAACAAACACAAAAAGTTGAAAGGAAAACAAAAACAAATGGCATATGATATTTATGAAGATGTTGACGACACAACCATACCTGCAAGTGAGGTAAAGTCAGAGGAACCGAAAAGTGACGAAAAACCAATAGAAGAAGGGGAGCCAAAAACTGAGGGTAAACCAAAACCAAAGTTTAGTTTGGAAACTAAACCAACTCAACCTTCATTAGCTGGTATGGGTTGGCGTCAAAGGCTTCTGGTAGCTGGTGGTTATGTTAAGTAAAGGAAAAAACATTTTTTTATTTTTATAAAAATGCCCCCATATAGAATGGATAGAAAGTCTGCTAGAATAAAAACAGAGTTACAAAGATATGGTTGGAGAGTTTCGAAGAATTTTAAATATAGGAAGGGAAGACCCATAAAAGTCTATGACAAACTGGCTGGTCTGACCTACGAAATGGATTTGGAAACAGCACGTGCCAATTATCCAAACAGACTGGAGAGGTTAGAAGAAGAACGTCTTATGGACATGCCTTTCAATGTTACTGAGCCTCAAGTTGAAGGACACGACGGCTTTGCCAGATTCTACTGGAAACATAACGAACAGTTGCATCCTTTGAGAAGGAAAAAAGGTAGTGCAGAGGATGGTCATGCTCCCATGGAAAGAACAAGATATGCATATGAAAAGTATCGCGAAGTTAGAAGTCAAATTGGTTCAGGTCGAACCTTTACAGTAAACTTTGACGAAGGAAAGAACAAAGAAGGCTTCATGGGTGTACTTGCTGCAATTCAAGACGGAAATAAGAAAGGATACAATCTCAGATTGACCATAACAGATTTGGATGGTCACATTTACTATGCAAATGGCAATGAACAAACAGCTGCAAAACTTCTTGACGCTTTCAAGACTACAAAGAGAGAACAAATGGTTGACTCCGACTCAGACATTTTGAATGCAATTGAAGGAATTGTAAGTGTAAAGTTCGAATGGTACCAACATAACCCTCAAGCAGTCAGACAACATGCTGGATACTTCCCGTTCATAAATAAGTCTGACATTGACTTGACAAGGTATGGAATTTACAATTCAATTGAAACAATTGTCAATGAACCTTGTATTCTTACATGTCTCAGGAACTCTGGTCTTGTTACAGATGAGAAGATGAAGTATCTTGAGTCATGTGTGAAGACAAGGTACATTCTCAGAGGTCAATTGGCAAAAATTGCACCGTTGGCAAATGTCAATATCCGAGTCAACATACCTACAGCTAAAGGTTCTTCACATGACGACTATGTTGTTGAGTTCAATTTACCATGGTTGAAGATTGCAATTGTCCACAACCACTTCATGTTGAACGAAAGTCTTACAAACCCATTGTTCGGAAAAGGCAAGTGCAACATTGTCAGAGCTGTAAACATTCTTTTCGAGAAAGGTTTGTTGGAACCAATTCCAGATGACAAGCTGACAGAAACTTTTGTACCAAAAGACGAAACAAACTTTTCACTGTTAGCAAGACCAAAAGTTGTTCCAGACAAAGTTCTAGTACAAAAGAAGTACACAATTCCAAAAGGAGTTGGATTGTTCGGATACCAACCTGAACCAGAAGAACTTCCAATGAGGTTGCAAGAACTTCAAGATGCTATAAACAAACTTCCATTGAGACATCCAATTGACGTCAAATTGTATTGGAGAGCATCTGAGTTAGGTCAGAAGGTTTTATATGAAACAGGTTGCTTCGACGATGTTTATGAGATAACAGGAGAAGTTTCTCAGAAGATAAGAGACTCACTTGAATTTCCACAAACTGGACCAATTGGTTGTGACAAGTTCGACTCAGATGAAAAGATATACTATGTCGACCTTAACGCTGCGTACATGAGGTTCGTCCAATATATTCCAACTGAATTCCAAACGAAGATGGTGAGTTCCCAGGAAGGAACTATACAGTTGGAAAAGTCATACAACAACTGTATGATATTAGGAAAGCTTCAAACCCCAAACTTGCAATGACACTCAAATTGCTTATGAATTCGACATGGGGATATTCCATTAAGAAACCTCAAGAGATGAAGAGTAAACATTATGAGAAGGTCGACAACTTTGTTGAAAGGTTTTCTCCTTTTGTTTTGAAGTACGAATTCACTCAAGGTCAAAGTGGCTTAGTAACCACATTAAAACCTATTGTCGAACATTGGTCTTACCCTCAGTTCGCAAAGGCAGTCCTTGACAACTACAACAAATTCTTTTCCGAAGTCAAATCCAAAGTGAAGGTTTACTATGAGAACATTGACGCACTCATGACGAACGAAGAAGGGTACAACAAACTCATTGAAATGGGTTTAGTTGGTGAGAAAATGGGCTGTTTTAAGCTAGACAAGGTATTTTCCGAAGTTCATGTTCTCTCCAAGCGTAAGTATTGGGGTGTTAAAGAAGATGGTGAAATAGTTAAACATTGCATGAAGTAAAAAATTTTTATATTCCTTCCTAGCTAATTTCCGTTTAATTTCATGGTCGCCCTCGGAGTCTTTGAATCGGACAGGTCGAGTTACACCATTCTTGGTCTCAAACTCATATATAACCTGTTTGTCTGTATTTGAATTGGAATTCCAGTCGAAGTCTCGAGATTCAAGGCAGCCCTTCCAGAAATAGTGGTGAACTTGACCTTGGGCTTCATGACCTTGCGCAAGTAGTCTTTAACAAGCTCGTTAATTTAAATTAGGTAAACTGCCTCATCTAATGGCTCGATGTTGTCCATTGCTACTGTCAGAAAAAGTACTGCTACTGTCAGTAAAAGTACTGCTACTGTCAGTAAAAGTACTGCTACTGTCAGTAAAAGTACTGCTACTGTCAGTAGCAGTACTGCTAGGAGCAGTAAAAGTACTGCTAGGAGCAGTAAAAAGGAAAATTTGAGAGGGTTTTCGACGATAAAGTACTGCTACTGTCAGTAAAAGTACTGCTACTGTCAGTAAAAGTACTGCTACTGTCAGTAAAAGTACTGCTACTGTCAGAAAAAGTACTGCTACTGTCAGAAAAAGTACTGCTACTGTCAGTAAAAGTACTGCTACTGTCAGTAGCAGTACTGCTAGGAGCAGAGATTTTTATCGTTGTGGTCCGACGGTTAAGCCACAAACGAATGTCCGACGTCCCACCAAAAAATATTTTTTTATTTTTATTGTAAGAACTGAAATGACAGTCGAAGCAAAAACGTTCACGAACAAATCTAATGGCGAAACATTCACAAAAGGCACTTACAACGGTATTGAAGTCTTACGTAGAGACAAGGATGGTTATATAAATGCAACAAAGATATGTCAGCAGTTTAGGAAAGACTTTAGAAGGTTGTTGGAAAATAAGTCCTGGGAAGAGTATTTTGAGGCATTTTGTGAAGAATATACCAACCCGCGGAAAACAGCGGGTTGCTTTTTATACAAAATTCATGCAGGAATTCCTGATGAAATCAAACAGGTTAGAGGAATGTATGTAGACCCAAGACTCGTAAACTATATAGCAATGTGGGCTTCTCCAAAATATTGTATAGCAGTTGGAAAAATTCTGGACTCCATAGACAAGAAAGTTCATGAGAAATTAGATGAAGAAGAACTTGAAGATACAGTAGAGAATGCAAAACCTTTGTTCGAACAAGAAGTTAGAAAAATGCATGAAAAACAAATAGAACATGAACGTGAGATATGTTCTGGTTATAGAGATTCTCCATACGAACTAGACCAATGGGAACAAGAAGATTTAAAGAGAGAATTTAGAGAATATGAACTCGCTAAGATAACATTAGAAGCTGCAGAAAAGAAGTTAAAGGTTTGGGGTCGTTTTGTACAAAAATATTGTGAGTAAATGAACCATTTATTTTTGCTAAATTCAATAAAAATAAAGTTTATGTTAGAATGTTAGATCTAACATGTTTTCTAACACGTTTTCTAACATGGTCTAAAACTCTTGAATTTTCATGATTTCATCGTAAATGTTTTGTCGAAACTTCTTCGTAAATGTTTTGTCATGACTTCTTCGTAAATGTTTTGTCAAGACTTCTTCGTAATGAGTGTAAAGGACCCAAAAATAATGTTTATGTTAGAATGTTAGATCTAACATGTTTTCTAACACGTTTTCTAACATGGTCTAAAACTCTTGAATTTTCATGAATTTCATCGTAAATGTTTTGTCATGAATTTCATCGTAAATGTTTTGTCGAAACTTCATCGTAATGAGTGTAAATGACCCAAAAATAATGTTTATGTTAGAATGTTAGATCTAACATGTTTTCTAACCTGTTTTCTAACATGGTCTAAAACTCTTGAATTTTCATGAGTTTTCCCGAAATAAAAAATAAAGTTGGTTTTTTTAAAAAAAATATTTTTTTATTTTTATTGTAAGAACATGTTAGCAACAACAGCACCAAACTCGTTAGTCATGAACCCAACTTCAATGTTAGTAGAAATGAAAAGCTTCATTCCTTCTTCATATACTTTTGAGACAGAAATCCAGAAGATAAAGCAAGAACTTTTAACAAGTAATTTAGACTGTAGTGCGAAAGATGAAACAAATGAACAGTATCTTTATGAAATGCAGGATATTATTGACCATCTACCTAAACTTCCTGAAATTCAGCAACAAAAACTCACTATTCCCGAATTTGACGAAATAGAAGTCAAACCAACTGACTCAGTAGAAATAAAGAAGTTCATACGAAAGGTAAATTATGAATTCCTTGGTTTTCATTGCAACCATAAGGTTATGGACAAAGATTGCGATATGGTATATAAGAATGTTTCTGACCTTTACAAATCCGAAGAATTTAAGACCTACGACAACTTTGTTTCGTTAGTTGCAAAATGTGTTTGGGAAATAAGAGATAAAGATAGTAGGGGTAAGGTATGGAACGAACAAATAAAACCCGCTATGTTCGAGATGAAGAAAACCATTGACGCCTTGGTCATACTTGCAGGTAAGGTTTCAGAATATAACGCTAAAATGAACCCGCAATGTTCAAAATGTAAAGCAGCAATGAGGAAATATAACTACTCCGTCAAAGAGATAGAACGTATGCGAAACGACTATGCAGATTTAAAGAAAGAAGCAGAAAAACCAGCAGAAGATAAAATGAACATGTTAGCATTTCTGAACAAAAACTATCCAACTGCTGACGATTTCCTTCTATCTGACGTCAAGAAGAAGTATAAAGAAACTTTCGGTATCGTTAAAACTTTTGACATACTGACAGAAGAAATAGAAGCTACGAAATTGTTTAGAGTCATGAACCATCGCAACATATACCATGTAAAACGCTTGTAAATAGTTATGTTAGAAAACATGTTAGAAAACATGTTAGATCTAACATTCTAACATAAACATTATTTTTGCTGAATTCCGTATGAAATTTCATGAGTTTTGTATGTTTTAGACCATGTTAGAAAACATGTTAGAAAACATGTTAGATCTAACATTCTAACATAAACATTATTTTTATTGAATTCCGTATGAAATTTCATGAGTTTTGTATGTTTTAGACCATGTTAGAAAACATGTTAGAAAACATGTTAGATCTAACATTCTAACATAAACATTATTTTTATTGAATTCCGTATGAAATTTCATGAGTTTTGTGTGTTTTAGACCATGTTAGAAAACATGTTAGAAAACATGTTAGATCTAACATTCTAACATAAACATTATTTTTGCTGAATTCAGCACAAAAATCTGAGTAAAATGGCATATGCTTGCTTCCCTCGGAAAACTGAGAGAAGAGATTCCATATGAAAACAGTGAAGAACAGCGAGTAGATAAAAAAACCCAGTCGCCAAAACTCTATGAAAACAGTGAAATTTCTCTAGACAGACTTTTTTCGGTCTTGCATAAAACTCTATGAAAATCATGAATTTCCTTAAGATAGAAAAAATAAAGTTAGTTTTATTTTTATTTATTTTTTTATTTTGTATGTAAGGACAGATATGTCAACAACAGAGAACACAACAACAGTTATAGTCCATGAAGCCATAAGTGAAGAATACGAGTGGGTTCAGTTTAACAAACAGTTACGTCTCATTCGTTCGGTCAAAGATGACATGTACCAAATGCAAAGTATTTTGAATGCTCTTCGTTCTACAAAGCAAGCATACCATTGGTTTGAAAACCAACAGACAAAAGAACTTTTAGAAGAATTTCCTCATATGTTTGCTACCCTCGAAAAACCGAGGAATGAGATTCCGTATGAAAATCGTAAAAATTTGCCAATAAATTTAAGAGGATATTATGTACATAGACTTTTAGTAAATGCTGTTGCAATGTGGGCTTCTCCTCGTTATGCTTGTTATATTTTCATGATGTTAGATGAAATTCATAGACAAGAACGTGAAGAGCTAGAGAACAAGCTTGAAGCAAAAGACAAAAACATTCAGAAAAGAATACCACGTTCGGTACCAAAAGGAAAGGAAAAGAACTATAAGTATATGATTTATACTGAAGAGATGGAAAATGAAGAAGATAAAGATATGGTTATGTTGCATTTAGTCAGAAGAAACAACAAAAGCTTTTACGACCTTGCTAAGATTTACAAATCTGACAGAAATTGGTTCTATCGCGAAAACTTACCGATTTCAATGACCCAAATGAAGATGTGAAACAAATAGTTCAAGATACGTTACCTCAAACACACTATGATATTAAAGGTTGTACAATACTTACCTTCAAAGAAGATTTGCCATTGTTAAAGGAAAAAATAACAGAGTATTTTGACAACTTCAAACAAGTAGAGTAAATGAACTCTTTATTTTTCAAGCTTGACTTCAGATGGCTCAGGTAGCTCTATAAAGTAAATTGCCTTGTCAAATCCTTCTGGCATTCCGAGTCCTTCCTTCCGACAGGAAAAGTCCTTCCTTCCGACAGGAAAAGTTTTTCTTTCCGACAGGAAAAGTTTTTCTTTCCAACAGGAAAAAAATTTCCTTCCAACAAGAAAAAAATTTCCCGACAACTGGAAAAAAATTTCCTGACAACTGGAAAAAAATTTCCTGTTGTTCGTCCGTAAACCATTCAAATTTTCGAAAATTGAGAACTTTTTGGTCGAACGACAGAAAAAGTTTTTCCTTCCAACTGGAAAAAATTTTCCTTCCAACTGGAAAAAATTTTCCCGACAACTGGAAAAGTTTTTCCTTCCAACAGGAAAAGTTCTTCCTTCCGACATTCCAAGTCCTTCCTTCCAACTGGAAAAGTTCTTCCATCCGACAGGACACAAACGAATGTCCGACGTACCACCAACCGAGTCCATTCCAAAGCCAGAAGAACCGACAGCCCCAGCACCACAACAGACTAAGACTAAACACTTACATTTTTCAAGCTTGACTTTTTACAATTTGAACTTTGTTCGCGTAGATGTGAATTCTGAAAGAAGTATGAGGGTCTTGTATGACTTTGTACTTCTCCCATAGTTCATGTCTGTCAAACTTACCTGCCATGGACTCTTTCATAAGTTCCATGAAATCGTCTTCGGACAATCCAGGGAAAAGTACAATGTCAGTAAGTATTCTCTTTACATCCTTACTTAAACTCTTGGCTGTCTGTACACAAATGACAACTGAGATGTTAAAGTGCCTAAGTTTCTTAAGAATTCGACACATATCTTGTTCTCTATTCTTTAACAAAGGATGAGAAGCAAAGTCATCTAAGATAAGAAGACACCTATGAGGGTATGTCTTCCAATCGTAAGATTGCAATTTCTTCGAAATGTATTCTATCTCTTTCTGTTTGTTTCTGAAGTGTTTCTTCTTCTAATATTCTCTGCATTTCCTCATTTGGGTCTTTAAACTTCGAATTTATATACTCATTTATAGCATTGTACTTCAAAACTCTTCTTTGGTACTTCTTTATCCAATCTAACAACTCAGTATCTTTTATACATACTAACTTAGACTTTTTTTATAAATATCTTTGAACGAAATTGACGGTTTGATCGAATTGACCAGAAGTACTACAAATGACTACTAACTCATAGAATGGGTTCTTCTCATCTAGTTCTTGTTGTTGTGCAGCCATTTTAAGATAAGTGAAAGTCTTGCCCGACCCAGGTGGTGCGATTAGACCTGTTATACCATTCTGAGCAAATAGGAACTTGTCATGTATGGGTTTTATCTGAGCATTTTC